CGGCGGTCTCCTCTCCGCCCAGCTCGGCAGAGCCGCTCCTTCTTGCAGCTGGGGTTCGAGGATGTGATCGCGGAGCCCGAGCTAACCCACTCCTTCGACAAAGTCTGGATCTGCAGCCACGCTCTCTTTGAGCTCAGCAAGTACCTGATCTACAAGCTCCTGACTCTGGTCCTTGCCATACCGCTGGCCCTGGTTCTGGGGATCGTCTTCGCGGTGCTTAGCTGTCTGCACATCTGGTAAGCGCGTGTTGTTGCTCGTCGGTGCGTGGGCTCTGCAGACAGCTCAGCAGAACTCTCCTCTTGTAGCGTTAGTGCCTAACTCTTGGTCACTGTCTTTACAACCGGTAGTCAGATCAACTTACATTATCTGCTTTATTTTTAAAGGGAGAGAAGTGAAAACAATGTTTTCTCTGTGACTCAGTTCCCTGCCTTGCTTTTACCAGCGGTCTGTCATGTCTGTGTAAGCTCCTTGGGGCAGAAAGTCTGGTTTACCATTTGCATGGCACCTACTGCAATGCATTCCAGCCTCAGCTGGCTTCTGGAGTAATAATAGTGATTGCTTGGGTTTTTTTAAACTGGTTGTTAAGTTGTTAAAACGTGTATTTGAAATGAAAGACCTGGACAGAGGTATCACTTACACCTGACACCTTCTCAGTATCGTTACCTTTTTCATTTTTTTCCTCACAGACTGAAGAAAGCTTTTGAGGGCCCAGCTCGCTCTTTCTTTGCTACTTGCCACAAAATCTACTGTGACTGCCTTGCGTCTGGTACATGGTCATCTCTAGGTGCAGTGCCCCAGGGCACTTCCACCTAAGCAAAGAACCCCTGCTGAGCTCAGGAAAGCTCCTTCTGGCTATGGCCCAGGTTCACAGGCAAATACAGTAGCCCACGAAGTCACAGCAAACCTGGTGTGCTTGAAACAGAATATACTGGCAAAATATCAGGGAGGAGTACCTTGAAACCAGAAAGGCAGATGATTGTGGAGAAGGAAGACAGGCAGGGAAAAGAATGAGGCTGAGGAAAGAACTAAGAATCCAGCAGGCTGCAGAGGAAGGGATGAAAGCAGATTATCAACGTCATTCCTGCAAACCAGGATTTTCTGTATACGTGGGTTTTGGGCAGTCCATTTGGCTTGGGTAACACTGGAATCATGAAGAAGTTGTTAAGGAAAAAATATAATCCGGAAACTGGGAAACAAACTCAAAGCAATAGGAATACATTGGGTGTCTGAACCTGTGATTGCAATGTTTTGGGCACAGATTTCAGTTTTCAAAAGTGGAATGGAAGTTTGGGTTGACGACATTGTCATGAGACACTTCAAAAACTGATTAACTTGAATTTTGGAGCATAAAGTTTGCATAATATCTAAAGGAGTTGCAAAGTAATTTAGAGCTGCCCCCTTGCTACTCCCCAAATTTTGATGAACATTGTATAGTGCCCAGACTTCCAGGTCTGTCAGCTGTCACTGTGCTGTACTGTACCATGTTACTGCAAAAGGGTTTGGTGGGCATGTAGATTTCCAGCAGTGGAATATCTATGGAAGAATTCACTGATGCCCAGTTTATTAAGACTCTAAGAAGTTTTTGTGCTTCAGAATGATCTTGTATCTGGATTTCACAGCCTGGATATGTAGGCATGAGTTTCACTGAACCAGGACTCAGAGGTCAGTTTCTATTTATCGAAGTAGTCCCTAGTGACTCTCTCAGGAACTTAGGGTTCTCTTAGTACATCTGAAATAGGACTGTCTGCATGTGGCACTTAATTTTGAAAAGTTTCCCTTGACTTTCTGTGAACACAAGTGCTTCCCCAACAACTAATTTTCCTTCCCTGCGTTCATTGTCAATACAGAAGTGATCATTCATTTTGATCTTCCTTGCACCTGGGATGGGTGCGAAAGAATCACATAACTTGGTAGCACTATCTGCTATCCCCCTTGGACTCCATCCAGTGCTACAGTCCAAAGCCAGCACTTCTCATCTTCCCACAGCCACAAGCTGGATTTATTCCAACACAAAGGTGGAACACACTGAGACAAAGTTAACTTCTCTGCAGCTCTCCATGTTCCAGATTTCTTGGGAGTAAGGAGTTCAATGTTTCTGCATTTGAGAGAGTAGCGTGGGAGCAACAGGTATCAGAGTCATTGGTCAGTGGAGGCATAGGGACCCTAAACACATGGTACTGGCTCCCATGTAGCCCCATTGGGTCTGAAAAAAATAGTAACTCCTTGTTTTGTGGGTGAGAGGAGGGGAATTCCATTATAACTCTGTGTTCAGCTGTTGAAACGTCATGGGAAAACCCTGGGCACGCCCTCCCACATGGCTGCCTGCAGGAGGGCTTATCAGAGCCTTATCACTTTCGTCATCCAAACCAGTGAGATGATGATGTTGATCTGTCACAGGGGAGCCTTTCCTGAGGCTAAATTTGAAGTTGTTTCAACAACTTTTGGAAGTGCTCAGGCACAAAGCTCTGTTGATTGTCACACATGTTGTTGCAGCTTTGTCAGCATGCTAATAATCCGCAAAAGTCTGACTCAGCATTCCTCACGCATCAAGGGCACCTCATGAATTGCTCCCCTCATACCTGATAGTAGGTGTTGTCTTTCACCAGCACAAAGATTGCTAAAGGAGGAAGCAAAGATGTGAGACTTCATGGAAAGCAGAAAGAAAGCTGAGTAAGAAGTATGTAATAGTACACTTTAATTTTCATTTTTGCCTATAAAGAAGGAATGTATTCTGGTTCTGTTCTCAAACTAGCTGCTTGAGCTAGAGTCCAGTTTTACACTACCTGGTAAAAGATACTGATGGGCTGAAACTGGGCCAGCTAGCAGGTTGGTGACCTACGTACAAGCTGGTTCAAGGAAGGCTACTTCTTCACATTTCTTCTCCTTTACCGATGGCTGTCATTTTCACAACAGCTTGTGGAAGCTGTCAAAACTGAGTTTTAACGTCTTTCTCTGAATATCTGAGCAAGCTTTTAAACATGTCCTTAGATTGAGGCTATTAAGGTTATTGATTTTTGAACATGAGCAGAACATTGCTGGTTTTGCAGGCAGCACATGCAAAATCATGATCTTTATTATAGCCCAGGGACTGGTTCTTGTTCCAAGCCACAGGTATGCCACCTCTTGAAAATTAACACTTGAATCTCATATATGCTTTGTTGTAGTCTTGTCTGAATAGTACTCTGGTATGTTGTATATTTATGCTGAGAATCAGTGCTTCGTTTGAGGATCCATAGCTTGGGTCTTGGGTCTGAGATGGGCTCTAAAGCACAAGGATTCAGCCAGCTTTATGTTCTTGTCATCAGCCAGAGCATCAGGTACTCAGAGCTCCTCTTGGCTTGAACTGCCATTCACAACGCTGAGATGTAACCAGGGACTTATACACAGAGAAGTAGGTTTGGACATGCATCATCTCTTGCCTCTTTCTCCACAACTCCATTTACACAACTTATTGCTATCATACTCAACCCCCAAACCATCTCCCAACTGGCTGTCTGAAATGAAAAGAAATTACAGTACAGCTCTGCCATGAAGACCCACCTAATAGAATCACAGAATCATAGAATCATAGAATCATTAAGGTTGGAAAAGACCTCTAAGATCATCAAGTCCAACCGTCAACCCAACACCACCATGCCCACTAAACCATGTCCTAAGCGCCTCATCTACACGTCTTTTAAATACTTCCAGGGATGGTGACTCCACCACTTCCCTGGGCAGCATGTTCCAAGGCCTGACCACTCTTTCAGTAAAGAAGTTTTTCCTCATGTCCAGTCTAAACCTCCCTTGGCGCAACTTGAGGCCATTTCCTCTCGTCCTATCGCTTGTTACTTGGGAGAAGAGACCAACCCCCACCTCGCTACAACCTCCTTTCAGGTAGTTGTAGAGCACGATGATCTGGTGTTGCTTTGATGCCTGTTCATTCATGTCCAGTATATATCCCTTGGCTTCTGAAGAGGAAGTAGGTGGATGTTGTCTTGCTTCCTTTTTGGTTTTATCTTTTCCAGTCTATCCAGGTGCTGGGATATATAATGTTTGGTGTTAATGTACTTCATATACTATGTATGGATCCTGGAAGACTTGGGCAGTTATCTCTTGGCTCACTCATAAATACCCCAAGGGTTAATGGGACTCTACATGAAGCTCTGCAACTGCTAGCTAATATTTAGCCATCCATTCACAGTGCTTGCTTGTATTGTAGAGCCACACAAGACTTCTAATTCAAAGTCATGATGTAGTGCATGTGCGAACTTGGAATTAGGTAATTTAACCACTGAGTGGTATAGTATTTGAAAAATAGCATTAAGACATGTCTGAAGATCCATTTTGAATAACTTCACAGGAGAAGATGTGATTCTTCACTTTGAAGCAGGGATCTGAATTAATAGTGAATCATTCCTCCAAACGCATTGCGCAAGTCTGTGAAAAGTTGAGCTGCTTCCTGAGAAACTGAAAATGCCCTTGTGAGTGAGAATTAAATTGTGCTCTGCCATTTCCAAGAGGCATTTGGTTCTTGACAGTGTTCCCTCGTGGATTAGCAGAAAAAAACTAATGCGAGCAAAAGTGAGAAAGGTTGATGGGTGTAACTTTTTGGATGTCATGCCTTGAACAGACGGAAGAGAATACAGGATAGGATGGAACAAACAGGGTAATTTGCTCTTTTCATTTCAACACTTCCCAAATGAGGTGATTTCTAATAATTAGGGAACGGATGGGTATTTTATGATATATATGCATAGCAAGATTCAATGAGAGGTCATATAGGTAGCTGAAATACCTTGGCTATGCTTCAGCTTGGGTACCAAATTCAGCATCGCTTTGGTTTTCTTCCTGGTGCTGTACCAAGTGGTAACACAAGTAGTACCAATATTGCAGTAAATGTTGATACGCCGACTCGACTTCCACTGTTAGACATTACTCAAGTGAGCAGTTACCGTCGAATAGAAGTGAATAGAAGTGCAGACGGGGGTAAACCCACAGCGTTGTGAGTAAAGGATGTATATGTTAATGTTTAGTTGACAGGTCACAAAAACAAATACATAGCTTCTAATGGCGCTTGGTTATTTATTTTTTAAGTGTGCCTGGTCACTCTACGGAAGGCACATCACACCCTCTAATATTTGGAAATGCCACACAGTAGGATAACATATCCTATACAGAACAGGATGTGTACTTATACACATGTAGATACATATATAGACACACATATTTTAAAAGTTAGAAAATACTTTTTAGTGCTCTCTTGGGTGTAACGGATTTTCTTCTCTGAGGTGTTTGAGTAATTGTTGTCTAAGTAGACTGACTTTTATTTTAAAATTGAAAGTTACTTACATTAATTAGCTTTGGTTGCCAGCATGTTTCACATACCCTCCTATGGAGATACCTTACGTTGTTTTTCACATGTGTTTACCATAAAATTGGATAGCAAATGTTAAAAGATTATAAAACATTGCCAAAACATTTTTTTGTTTATTGTGTTTAACATTATCAAGAGAGGTTGAGTTCTATGTGAATGACCTCTACAGCAGTTGCAAGTAGTATGATCACTGCTTTTCCAGCCTTCCCTAATGACATCCTGGTGATTCACTACATCTTTCCGTGAAACTTTTGCACAGTGTGATATTTGGTTAGTTTGTATGTTGTGTGATCCTATTGACAGAGGGTCCAATAGAAATGTAGGCTTTTCTGCTTCTCTGCAATTCACTTAGATTTTAAAAAAAAATGCAGGCCAAATTAATTTTAGATGGCAGCAAAGGAGCAGTGACATAGCCTTTATAAACTAACTGAAATGGAAAAGAGGTGAAGTCAACACAAGCTGAGTAGCCATTTCTGGTGTTTTCCCTGTGTTGCTTGGAGAAATTTTTTTCTCTTTGCATTACTGATGTTTATCAGCTGTATTCTAACATGTGAAGCCCTGATTTTATTCTCTAGAAATTATCTATTCTATATGCAGTGATACTATAGGTGGTTAAAACACATAGTTTACCGAGTTCAGTTTAAAACTAGAGACGCATTATTCCAGTAACGCTCACAGTTCTATATGGTGTGTATATTACTAGTGGTTTCAGCAGAGACAAAAGAAGAGAAGGTTTTAGAAAAACTATTCTTGTTTAAATCCATCTGGGTTAGCTTAGAGTGCAGCATAGACATAGTAGTATGTGGCTTGCATTGTTTGATAAAAGCCAGACAAACACTGAAAATAATTCATTTTGACTCTTTATATTTCTAAGCTTCAACTTTTTTTAAATGTATAATGTTTTTTTCTGCTTTGTTATTCTGAGCAGTACTCATTGGAAATACACTATACTTACATGTTTTTCAGACCTGTGATGAAATAGTAAATTAAATACTTTCTGTCATTCCAACCACAGTCAATAAGAGTTCTGCATGCAGCAGCAAACTAGAACAGAGTTTATTATCTTTATCAAGAGAATCTATAGCTTCTTCTACCTAATTTAGGAAACAAATGTGTTATATATGGCACAGAGATTTTTTAGAACCTTGCTCTAGTACAACTTCAGTATTACTTAAAATATTTATACATTTAATTTGTCTGCACCCAAATAAAAACATCCAGCTTAGTGAAATGACCAGGGGTTTTGGTCAGTAAATTATTAAAACAGGAGAATAACTTAAAATAGTTGGTCAGTTATCATGTATCCGCAGGCTCTCGCGAGCCGCCCATACGTGCACTTCTGGCTCCGTTGCCTGTATGCTTGGCGTAAGCCACCGCTAATGACTTTGCTTTGGAGTAGTGTGCACCCTGAGTGAATAAAAAGATCTTTCCCCTGACCAGGACTTTTGACCTCATTCCACCTTAGTTTCTCACCCACAAATGAAAAACTTTACAGTATCAGCGAGATCCCATTTTTCTGAGGTTCGGCATGTCTCGGTACTATAGTAATCCAATGTGCCCGAATATTGCTTTACTGTTTCTGTTTTATTGTAGCAACTTGTAGCAGCGATGTGGGATCGGTAGGAAGGAGACAGGAATGGCGATGTGCATGTGTGGCCATGCATTTGTGTGTGAGAGAGAGGGGGGGATAAAAGAAACACCCAAAGAGACAGCAAAGCCAGAACAGATCGTAAAGAGCGCTGTTCCCAGTCGATCCAACTGGGGAACGTGTTGTTTCTGTCAAGCCCCAAAGACCCGCATTCGGATATGCCCACAGTGCAGATGAGTCCTTAGGGAACAGCGTTGCTCTCCAGCCACAGCGGGGTGGCAGCAAGGTATCACGTACACCAGCCCTTCCAGCAGCAGGGAGAGAACAGCAACAGTTCGCCCCTGTAAAAGGCATGTCCAAAAATTAGCTCAGCATTGCCAGTTAAGAGGCAGAGAGATGATGAAAAGAAAACCAGCATCCCCTGTCCCCTGTGTTGCACACAAGTGATGCTGGCCAAGGACCGCGTGCATCACAGTGCTTCTGCGTCTGCAGGTGTGAGGCTGTGAGCAAACAAAATTGATGGAGAATGAGTGCGAGAGTGTAAAATCAACTTGCTTAGAGATTTAGAGTAATAAAATCACTTCTTCTTCCGTAAGATCTCACACTTGTGTTTGGTTATCCTGACTTCCCCGTGCTATAGCAGCAGCTATCTTCAAATCTTCCATTTTCTCTTTTACAGGATTGTGGTGCCTTTCGTGAAAACCTGTCTCATGGTCTTGCCTTCAGTGCAAACTATATGGAAGAGCCTGACAGATGTTTTCGTCGTACCGTTCTTTCAGAGCATAGGCCGATGCTTTGCCATGGTTAATATACGGCTGGACCAAGAGTAAACATCAGGGATGCGACACTGCTGTAATTGTAGCTGGTGTTATACCTCTTTGCTAACCTAACATACAAGCACTTACCATTCATTCCAAACTGTTAAATTACAAATGGCTGGTTTAAGTGGGAACATGTTATTTTTTCTAAAACTCATTTATTTTCAGGGAGATCAGTTTAAGAATAAGTAGGCAGTTTTCATAGCTCGCTATTTTAACAACAAGAGCGAACGCGGAGTATGTTGGCAACACTTTATTTTAATGGTACGTCGATTGCTAGATTACAGGAGAATTCTCGTGGAGATTTAACAGCCACCACAGTGATAATAATTGGCATTATTGCTATAAATATTTAAATAAGCTGTGATACCTTAGGTGCAACAGATCTCTAGGGTTTCCCATTGACTTTACTGCGGTTCCACCAGGGATCGGTTTTGGCCCTCACTATGCAGAATGACCAACTCAGTCCTTTATTACCAGCAATTAAAATGAACGTGACTCATTGCACAAGCATACAGGGAAAGGAACTGTTGTGTAATTCTCCTATATTGGGGAGGAAAAGCTCCCTGGAAGTTTATCCCTTAAAATAAGGTGTTAGCTAATGATTTGGAACATCAACTAATCTGTATATTTTATTTAATGAGAGGTTAACTTTGCTGTATATTTTGTACCTTTGTAAATGGCACTTGATCGGTTTTCTTTGAAGCATTATTTCTATAGTATTTGAATTCTAATCAACTTATTAGGCAGCAAGAGTGAGGCACTGCAAAAAATTATTTTAGATAACTAAAATTTCAGTTTCTAAATTACGTGGATTTTTAAGTGTTGCCGTGCAATTCTAGTATGTTCATTATATAAGGTTGCGTGTAAAAGCAAAGATTATAAGTGTTTTCATACAAGGCTATGCAAAAGAGTTGGAAATAATCTGTTTATGAGAAGTATTTTTTATTAAAAATGGGGTGTAGTAAATGCAACCCTGCCTATTTCTGTGTATTATCTGTGTGAACATTGTGATATTTAAAATGATAGACACTATGCTGGCACTTTAACTACGTAGCAAGCTCTTATAGAAGGCAAGTGAGTGTAATTGGTATCATTGTCTAATTCTCCTCACCTATTGACTCGACTCTCCATGTTGCTTATTTACTACTTTAAAGCCTAACCCATAAAAAAAGCCCTTCTTCCTTCTGCACCTAATATGGCTTTGTAAACCAGAATAACAGAACATATGCAGAGGTACATTAAAATTACATTAGCCTTCTGATGGTCTTATGCTGCTGTTTTCTTTAAATACAGATGATAAGTTTCAATTGTAAAAGGTTTGTATGATTTAGAATGTTATTTTCTATAATCATGTCAGATTTCTTATCAAACAAGAATATACAATAAAATAATAAAATGTCAGCTTTTTCCTATTTTCAACTTCATTTTTTCAGATTTTTCAACTTTTTAAAAAGCTCTTAAAATGCCGAACAGCATAGAATACTATGCAGTTCTTCCAAAACATGGGAGAGGGAAAAGAAATGGATGAGCATCAATACAGTTCCACTATTATCAACTGCATTTAACTTACTTACAGTAGAAAATGATGTATCTCTGTGTGCAATTAAGCCCATACAGAATGATTGCTTTCTCTTAAGCAGGTCTGTTGGTGCCGAATTTTGGCTGCATTCAAAAAAACGCTTAACTCTTTTTACGGGCGCATGCTTTATTTACAGATGAACTGCAGAATTTTCCTTTTCTTGCTTACTGGCCTACAGAAGCTAGCTGACACTGTATATTTTTTGTACATTAAGAACATCTTTCTACATCAAAAATATTTTTACCATTTGTACCTTTTAGAGAGGGATTCATACGGCTTTTGAAAACTGGATCTTAATGATTAGTGCCCATGGAAACTTCTCTGGAGTTTTTTCCTCCTGCAAGAAGTTAGCTTGCTGTTCAGATGTGCTCTTCAAAATACCTTTCTTATGTTAAAAATGGAAATATCTCTTTTGAAAATAAAAATTGGTCAGGCTAGGCGTGAGTTCTTTCGAAAGTTATTTTCAACATCCAAGGATTTTTACAAATATATTTTCCACAGAAAAATGTCCCCTTGATGAATTAATTAAAAAAATCAATCAGTACTAGCCCTTGTGTCTAAAAGGAGCCCTATAAAAGCCTAAGCTTTGAGAGAACTCAGCTCTGGATCCAAACTTTGAGAATGAGGCCATTCCCTAGAGAAAAATGTATCATTTTAGTTCATGCACTGCTGGATATATGCTTTCTTAAATAGCTTGCTGAAGTCATCCAGCTCTAGCTACCACAGGCAAGCAAGTAGAATGGTTTGGTTTGTTCTTATTTTGATTTAGGCTTGTCATTAATTAGTTCTTTTCACCATTTCTCTAGCTGTTACAAGACTCAAGTGAGCTTGTAATTAAGTAATTAAAGCTGCTAGTTTCTTACATATTTTACAGCAGTATCTTTCTCTGGAACAGATGTGCTTTTACTGTAAGAAAATACCAAATGGACTGTTAGGCTTAGGGTGAAATAGTAGATGCCTGGCAAATACGCTTACTTCATCTATGAAAGGAGTGGAAGAAAGCGTGAATATATACAGACTCTTCAATACTTAGGTGTGAATCTGCCCCGGGCAACTCTGGCCGGCAAGTATTCTCTGGATTTTGTGGATTTGACACAGCTGATACTGTCAATAGCTCGCAGCATTGTTGGACAACAGAGACTGAATGGGCACAGGCACTGAACTGTGATCTTCAATGTAGGGGCAGGTTCCTTAAGTTCACCTCCAATTTGTTTGAAATGTGGACAAACCATCCCAGCTGATCCCTTATCAGCAACTTACAAATGAGAATTTAGGCAAGAAGGGGAGTCCAGAAACTTAGTCTTGTTGTCTGCAACAAATGTAGGAAAATTTACACCTGGTTCAGGTCATCTGCTTTGATGCATCTTCTTCCCCTCTATGGAATGGGGAAAATGTTACTGCTCTTAACAAGAGTATACTTTCCATCATCATGGTAGAGTTATGAGAATAAATAAATAAGAAGTGTGAGATGTTCCTATTCCAACCTGCCTCTTGTTACTGCAGACCTTAGATTTATAATCATGAGCTGGAGATTCAGTTCTGTCGTGCAAAATATTTCAGCATCTTGTTTTTCATGAAGATCACAACTAACATACAAAACTAACACCAGATTTGTGTTTATGGACTTTTTTCTTTTAATTCACAAAGAAACTTAACCTGCCTCCTTATGAGAGCTATTTCCTAAAATCCTTCTAATCTGACTCTAGAACTTCTATATTGTATCTTATCTTTCCCCACCCTAGTTGTTCACCATATAAATTGGAATAAATTCTTACAGAAACTTTGACATATTAGTAAATGAGGAGCCTTTTCCCACCTATCCAAAAAGCTCACTTAGGCATACACTGACTGAAAAGTTCAGAACATCCCTGCAGCTCAGGGACCTCAGACCACACACTCAGATTTAGTGGAAGCCAAAGAATGGTAAGTCCATTATTTTGACAGGGTGTGATTGTTCCCCCACCTGCAGAGATAGAACTATTGCTTAAGTTAAGCTGTATTAACTCTATTTTAAAAATACACGGAAAAATACATGGTTTTGTTTTTAAAAAGAAAATGCAAATGGAACAAGGTCAAACACCGGACACACTAACAGTGGTGTCTGTCAGCACACTGTGCTCATGCGAATTAGAGCTGAAGACCTCCGGTGAGTATACTGAACCAGCAGTTACGCATTAAAAACTGAGGTGCTTTCTTCATGCAGGGATTTACAACTGAGGGGAGAATTAATAAAGGCTAATTTTAGCCTGGTGACACTAATCTTCCTAAGTTTATTGCAACAAAAAGAAAATGTCTTCTGTAGAGGCAATTCAGAGGAGCTAAGATAGGTTCCTGCTCTGAATCATCCTCCAGAGAAGACTCTCTGCACTGATTAATACAAAATGTTTGGCTTGGCTTGGCTTGGCTCCTTTCCTCTGCTACATAAAAAGTCATATTTGCTGCAGAAATTGGGCAGGCTTACAGAAGCAACTAGAGCTTCATGCAAGTAGTGGGGCAGGTGCTTCTCTACATGCTTCTCTCACAACTTGAGGCCAGGGCTGAGTGTCACCTGTGTTAGGTGTTCAGTTTTGTCTGTTGTCTGGCTTCCCCCTCCAACTGCAAGGAGAAAGAAGGACCCCTTCACAGCGCACTGAATCAGATCCTACCTTAGACGCCTAAATGGAATAAAATGTAGAGATTCACACTTTTATTTGAAACTTCAAGGAAAGCTTTTCTATTTTTCCAACTGCCTCAGTTTAGTAAGAGCTGCTTTTTCACCCCATTTACTTACCACACCTTGCTTTTTACTTTACACTATCACATCTATCACAATGCTACAACTATAAGCTAGGATTGGCTATGAAACGCTTAGACAGCGAAGCTCGGTGACAGAAAGTCCCATCCTATGTAAGCCTCAAGGAGTGGGTGTTTAGGTCCCGTTAATGAGACTCGTTGTCACAGTCTGATATTTCTATAAGACACCTGAACAGTTAATAATATGCTAGAACTGGCAGAATGGTACAGAACAGTGTTGACATTGATCAGCGTTCATGGTCCAGCTCGGTATTTGTCAAGGATTTTGATACTGAAAAGGGTTGAGAAAAGAGTGACTTGATTTGCGCAAGGTCTGGCAGAATTAAAGCTTTCAATCCATTTGCCTCTTCAAGCCAAGATGGTTACAAGCTATCTTGATTGAGACCAACAGGGACTAGCTCTAATAAAAGATGTACACACCTACCGCAGGATTGAGATGAGAGTCAGGCATTTAAATCCAAAACTGTAATCCCTGCCCAGCTGCCACCCAACCAGGAACATGTCTAAACTCAGAAGGAACCTCCCTTTCACGTAACCTCCCCTCAGTACCTACAGTTACACTTCGGTCATGCCCAGAACTGCCCTTGTTTGAGCAACTTGGCATCTTACTCGCATCTAAGCCCAGTCAGAATTGCAA